GCAAAGGGATTTTTTTATTGAAATAGACGTCTAGAAACAAATTATTTCATTTCCAGCAAAAAAACGAAAAACTCCATCGATATAAAACAATATTTTGAATTTAACAGATTATACAACGGCTTCCACCACCTGGACATAGTACATATTGTTTACCCCCTCCTATATACCTAACTACAAAGAGCAAGTAAAAAACACGACATACCACTTTTAACAGTCAGATGAGGAACTATATAGAGAACGACGAAAAACTACTAGACTAATTTTGTTTATAAAAATCGAATTGTAAACATTCACGGTGTCATCCACGTAGTTGTCAAATTATTATAAGAGAGTATGGGAGAGTATTGTTACAAGGATTGTTTATGATTATAATTCGGTATTGACTAAACATAAGGCTCTAAAGCGCACAAAAGGCTTTCAAAATTATATATTTGCATCCTTAATGCCAGTTATTATCAGTATAATATATTTTTCTCGTTGCCACTATTATAGTTGTATAGTGTTTATCAGGAAAGTAATAATTATGAATTGTGACTACAGTGTAATAAAGCAAGCGTAGTAGACGTAAATACTGAATCATTCATAAAACGCATGCTCGCTCCTCAGATAAACATACTTGCCCAAACCATCCCCTCTCAAATTAGCAGCTGTTTGCTTCTTTATAATGCGGCAGCCGATCGACAGCTATGTCTGCATAATAATAAACACAATCCTAATGATTGCAATAAAGAAGGACTTAATTATGAATGAAAGGATTAGTCTAATAGTATTTCGTCGTTGATAGAGAACAATTTGTTGTAATGGGACTCTCAAGCGGTACCGCTGATCTGTACGCGTCACGGTTTTCCACAAGGAGGAAGGGTTGACAATAACTTAACTGACAACTGGCTGGATTAGTTTGGATAGAGCACTAGTATAAAACTACCATAAAATGGATTGGCAACCACAGTGCGTCGTTTGACACACTGTAAATTTATCCTGAGAAAATGGCGGAGCACACAACTCAGTTCTGATTCACGGACCTTACAAATAATTAAAGTCGCAATACTGATTGTTCTCTATACTGTAATACAGTAATTACATATGTAATAGAAAAAGTCTATGGAGAGAACGAAGTCTGCTCTGATACTTTCAAACGACGATATGCTGAATAAATAAAATCTACATTTGACATTTAAAAGTTTCAAACTGACGCTAAATAAATAACAAATGCGAATCGTTGCCATGGTAACGTAATTTATCCGCTTTTCTTTATCCATTTGCATTATTTCTGTTCCTTTCTATATAGCCGAGAACAAACTCCGACAAACTTGAACTAACCGACTAAAATTACACGTTTCGCGCATACAATGGTTGATCAGGAAACACTGCTTCCTGGTCGAGTTAACCCAATAAGCCAATAACCCAATGACTAGTGTTGACCATATAAGGTTATACCAGAATGTAAAAAAGGATAAGATTCTAAGAATACCTACTGATATAGCCTATAAAATTTAGGAGAAATTTTTAAATTTAAATACCAGCCCGAGAAACCTGGAAACAGGCGTATATCTACTATGCAGACTCAACTCGTATGGTATACAGACGGTTCAAAACCAAGGAAGAAGCCGGTGCTGGAATATTTAGACCAAAGTCAATAACAACGATTTCGCCGAGTCTAGAAAAATACGCACAATATTACCATCTTCTCTGAAGGCAATTATCTCACCAGGGTATCTATTCTTGAATTGGAGGGAATAGAAAATTGGTTTTTCCTCTTTTTATGCAACGCACAAAATTTGTATTTTTGCGTCATTCTTCCCTCAAAATTTCTACGCCCTGAAATTCAAGAATAAATACACTGAAATCAACTGTCTAAAAGAACTGACAAAGCTAAGTAGTCAAAACAAAGTGATATTAGAATATTAGAAACATATCAAAATAATTAAAAGGCCCTACGAACTAGTCGGAACAGGCTTAGAAACCTTCTGTGGAGTTTCTAAAGCATTGTTCAAGGCACCTATTAAACAATAGATTTAAAAATAGTCTTAGTAATGGTGGAATAACTACCCAGGATTAAGACAGACTAACCGTCGATGAAGTTCATGAAAGACCTATTGGATCAAAAACTACAAATCGTTAGAATAAGAGCAGCTCTTCTTACAGGAAAATGTCGCCTAAGAAGGCACATGGATATTATCAATCCAGCAGAAGAAACAACATTGTTCAGGTTCTGTGAAGATAAACAGGAACCAATAACTCACGTCCTGTGCTAATGTGTAAGCCTGACTAGAATTGAGTTTTCTAACACTAGGTAAAAAAAAAACCCGAAGCATGTAACTAGATGCAGTAGGTATATATTAAGTCTAATAAAAAAGACGATAATATACTCTAAATAACGGAGTCCCACAATAGATCTGAAAAATAGATCTGAAAAGGTTGCGGTGGATAAGGACAAATAATGTTGACTTTTTTTGAATGTAATCTATGTACAAATTTATTAATCGTTTGTGTAATTGATATTTTAATATTTGTCACATTAGGTATATCGCACGTCCCGTCGTCACGAACAATAGTGCAATAACTGTAACATTTTCAATTCTAAAAAGTAAAGGAAACATAATAATCTTTCTGCGACGAAGACGCTTTTACCATTGCGTCCCAGATGCGACGCAAGATGCACTGTTCTTCAGAGCGCGTCTGCCGAAAATTTCCGACGAAAACAGTTGTTTCTTAGTTATTACGGTATTTTTTTATTACCCGATTAAAAGCGTAATTAGTTAGAAATATTACTGTCTTCTTGATAAGCAGTTAATAGACAAGTATTAATATTTTCAATACAATAGTGTTACATACCAAAATATTATTAAACATTTTATGATTCTATATTTTAAATATCGTTCCTATTGATGTATGTTTAGTATTTTTTAATAACTTTTTAAATAAAAAATACCTTCCATTTAAATGTGGTAATATTTAAACTGAAATAAAAAACTGAAAAACATTTTAGGTAGAAGACTGTAATGAGTGGTATTTTATTTTAAATCGCCTTTTAATTTAAAAAAAAATTAAAAGAAATGTTTTATGTTTTTATACCTATATTTTGGCCTTATTTTTTCTGGTATCATTAAAAATCGCACAAATGTAATAAAACTGTTGTTATTAACATTTAAAATTTCATAATTATATTTTTAGCTTTCCTGTAAAATTACGTTTCTACCTATTTTTTAGGCAAAATTAATTGATGTAAAACTTTTTTATCATAAATATGAACATTCTTAGAAACAAAAAATGAATTTTTTAACATGTTCAGAAGTAATAATTATTGGTCTAGTAGAGTTTTACATAATCAAGCATCATTGGAAATACTAATATTAATATTAATAGTACCAAGCCAAAGATAGGAATCTCACTGAGCTTAGGTAAACATGCGACAGTATTCCAGGCAGAAATAGCAGCAATACATCACTGCGCAAAAGAAGTATTAAGACAGAAGGTAAATGGAAAAACCATTGTCATATACTCAGACAGTCAAGCGACGTTAAAAGAACTCAGTTCCATGCAGGTACACCCAAAGCTTGTGTGGGACTGTTTGGAAGCCCTAACAGAGCTGGGTAGTCAAAACAGACTAACCTTAGCCTGGGTACCAGGCCACAGGGGACACAAGGGCAATGAAGAGGCTGATTTACTAGCCCGAGAAGGAGCCTCAAATGCTCTTATTGGCCCAGAACCCTTCTGTGGTGTAACAAAAACAACTAACAGAACATGCACAAAGCAGTGGATGTTTAAAAAATCTCAGGAGTGGTGGAAAAACTCACCAGGACAGAGACAGGCCAAAAAGTTCTTAAAAGGACCATCGCCTAAACTCACCGAGCATCTACTAAGCCTTAATAGGAAAAATACTAGTAGTATAGTAGGTCTATTAACAGGGTATTGTAGGCTTAACGAACATATGTACAAGATCGGTCTGACAGAAGAGGCCTTGTGCCGATTCTGTCAAGATGAGGAGGAAACGGCAGAACACGTATTCTGCTACTGCGAAGGTCTAGCAAGACTGAGATTCCTTACACTTGGAGAAGAAAAACTAAGGGCAACTAGCTATACCGGAGAACTACTTCCCAGTGTATGGAGTCTACCGAATTAGACAAGGTACTCTAAACAATGATTAAAGGATATCCACAATAGATCTGAAAAGGTCGAGGTGGGGGAGGCCACATGGTCCATAGTCCTAATTAAATCTAATCTAATCATAAATATGAACATTCTTCGAAACAAAAAATGGATTTTTTAACATGTTCAGAAGTAATAATTATTGGTCTAGTATAGTTTTACATAATCAAGCATCATTGGAAATACTAATATCAATATTAATATTATTTTAATAACAAATATATTTCTATCTTGAACTCATTGTAATACGTTTTTTTATCAATTATTTTTACAGTATTGTTCCATATTCTTTTTCTACAATATTTATTAATAAGAGCCACACTATACCACCGCTTGCAATTTAAAAAATTAAAAGTATGATCGGTATTATCAGTGGGAGATTATGTAATCCATTAAGAATGTCACATAAAAAAAAAAATAAAAAAATAAAATAAATGCCTCAAACCGACTAATGGCCCGAAATGTCTTTTCACATGTTGACTCCATATGTCGAGATCACGTAATAAATCTTGCTACCAACTTTATAACGACTATATAAAAACCGTATTGCTACCATTTCACTTACTTTCTCGTTTATTTTCGTTTATACAGGGTGATTCAAAACGATACTGCCAAAATATTACATGGAGTGATGAACCATGGATGGTTTTGACAATCCGCCAACACATTCATATGTACGAAACAGAAAATAATTCGTTGGAACAGTTTTTCTGATCATTTTCTATGCGTATGTACCTATCTGACGTCCTTCTGATGATCAAAGGATCTGTAGGAACAATCTTGTAGGTTTCATTGTTTACGTTATATCCAATTATTAATGAGTCAGAGGAGTAATTACGTATTTTACTTACCATGTATTCTGTTTTAGGAACTATGCTAGTGTTGGTATCCGCAGATGATTTGTTGGATCCCTGTAAAATTTCTTCTAAGTATTCTATATATTCTATGGCGCTTCTTAATATTTCGACTTTGGGTAATCTTTGGCCTGGATTGTTGCACGTTCTTTTCTTTAACATTTCAAAAGCTTCGTTGACCTGCAGTAAATTCATGAATATTATTTTTTTGCTAGAATAGCCACTAGTAAATCATGATACAAAAAATTACAAAGGTATGAGATACTCAGTCGATGAAATCTCGTCTAGTTCGCGCATGACTTATTGTGGTCTAGAATATGACTATCTAATTAGTCATGAACAGATTTAAATTTATTTTCGCGGGCTGTTTTAGATCAACCTCAAACTCGTAAAAGCTACTCCTCGACACCACAATACGTCACCGTGATGTAGTATCAATCTGCGTAATAATATATCTTCTTTTTATAGATCATGCTAGTAAGTTACGGGTAAATTTTAAATAATGACTATTTGACTAATAGACTCATAGACTGTTATATAAATATTTTATTCTTGGTCAACTAACATTTTTAACATGTTTTCCTGGTAAATATTAACCAGTCTTTAATTACTAATGATTTGAGGAAATATAACCTCATTTAATTGAATTTTACACGCCTACTATCAGCCTCAATTTTGAATATTTAAACTAGTTATAAATGGCTTGTCCCTAAGATGACTTATTACTGATTTAACTAATCACAGTAACGATTCAAATCACGCCATTGTCCGGTCCAACCTGTCTTTTTCTCGTTTTTTCTCTGAATTGGCGTCTACGTTTCTACATTTCAAATTTAGCCCGCCTGTAACTTTTTAAAGTGCTTTGTGAATAGGGATGTAAGTCAAATAAATATTTAGGATTTGATTGTGCCTCGGAACTTAATTAACTTTCAAATTGTTTTGGAGCAGAAGGTCGGAATTTTTTCTAAGATGCCTGCTTTCAAGTGAATAAGATAAATGAATTTATTTTATTTTAAGAGATAACCAAAACAGTGTCTAACGAAAAATATATTTGTTCAAAAAATCGTACACTATTTAGGAATGAGAATCGTTATTTACAGAGTAATATCTTAAAAACTTACAATGGCTATATCTAATGAACTAAAAATATCAGAAAAAGCTTGAAACCATTTCTAATATACGAAGGGGAAACTGAAGCGACATCAGAGAAAACTAACACCTATCAACTCCCTACGCACTAACATAAAAATGTACATAGGGAATGTACCACGTGTAACACATCAAAGAAAAGGTATTTTTTTGTGCAATGAGATATGTGTATTGATACTCCTATCACATTAACGTAAGTTTTCAAGATAGTACGAAGTCAAAGAACACAGTATTTTGTGATAAAGGGTGCGCCACACTCAACGAGACGGAGCCTGGTGAGTAAACTACAAAATACATTTGAAATTCCTTTGATACAAATATATGACTCAGTGCCGGCTACAATTTAAAATTAGTTTTGTATATACAGGATATCCTAAACCAGAATTTAAAAAAGTTATATTTTTCAAATCAATCAATATCAAATATTTTCTTTTAATTTTGAGTTCAACTCTTAAAAATAATCTTGGTTTAATAAAGATTCCTTATTCCTATTGTTATGGGTTAAAAGATTTTATATTTGGCATATAGGAATAAAAACAAAATTACTTCTCTTCTTAAAAATAATTTATTTTAAATCATAAATTGACATATTTTTAAAACCGAGTTGTAAATATGAGTAGATAATGGTCAAATTTTAGTCTTCTTTTTCTTCCTGTTCTCATCAAGAACCACAGAACTTATTAATTAGATATCTAATTATTTTAAATTATCATATGGCCAACCTTATATATCAAATTACACTAGAATTAGCTGATAAACTCGGTATTAAGGAAAAAAAACTGGCAGGTTTTTTTTCAAGCTTTCTTTTGAAAAGCACGTTTTCAGAGGAAGCTTGCTCTCGCATTTTTGCGGATTTTTCACAAAGAAAAATTTTATTTGGAAGATTATTTTGTTTAGGAAACATAAACAAGACTCTACTTTTGAGGATAGAAAAATCCATATAACTTTTTCGATTTAATTACCGCTTCTTTGGAAGCCACATTTGGCCCCATACCACCTCAGGTAGGTTTAAAATATAGTTTGGATATAAAATTAGTTAAAATAATAATTCTTACATCATTTTACATAAAATAAATCATTATTTTAGGCCTTTTATTGTTAGTTTTTTTGTAACTAGCTCATTTACAACTTAAATAAGTATAGTATAACCGTGTCAAGGTATACCTACCTCTGGCTACCTAGTAAACCTACTCATGTCAAGAGTCATAGGATAATAATTGGAAGTAAATTGTCTCTTGCTGTAGTATGGATGTTTAGCTGCAGAACCATCCTTGAATCCACTATGTACTGTCAAATGGTGATGGAAATTGTGTACTAATTGAATGGAAAAATACGGAGGATCCCTGGAAGTTACAGATAAGCCTTAGACATAAGTTTGAAAATTAAAACTCAAAGATATAATTTATTTAAAATAATCAATTGCCTTTTACACTTAATTTCATTAATTTTTCCGGTAATTTACACTCACTTTGTAAAGCAAATCTTCTAGAAGTGCCGCTAAAAGCTCTGTATCTAAAGGGCTATTTTGTTTGTTTTAACCTAAAAAAAAAAGAATCACATTAGTAAAAATAATTATATGATATAGCAACAAAAGACTTACCTCAACCCCAAATCTTTGACATATAATCCACTCTAACTCATTTGTGTTAAATATAGAAAAGAAAAGTAATCATTGTTTATTATTGTACTACTCGAACCCAGAATCGTGAATTTTCTTTAAATATACGAAAGAAATATATAACACTATCTTTGATAATTGCCGATTTATTTGATATTTTTTGAAAATGTAGTTCTGACGAAATTAATTAATTACTCTTGTTTACAAAATAAAAAACGAATTTTTGGCAGTTCCTTACAAAATGTAACTGTTTATCAGAATCATTAAAATATTCATAAAATGTACTAAAAAGTGTCTACGTAAATTGGCGGGCGGCTTATGAAAAACTTTTTACTGAAGCCTCAGTATTGCATTCGCGCAGACGAAAAAATTTTCTTACCCCCATTTTTTAAAACTTTTTTTTCGTCTGGTTGTCTGTGTGTATGTATTCTGGCACAATAACTCTAGAACGAAAGTTGCCTGATAGCCTAAGGCTATGGTTATAGTGGATGCGTGTTCTGACGAACCTGCGTTCTGACAAAAATGTCACAATTGTTGTTCAGATCAACAGTGGTTATTTTGCATGCATATTCTTAAAAACTGATATTAAGTTCCACCAGTTTCGTGTGATGTTACGATATATCCATAATGAATGACATTAACAATTTTCTGTTTCTATAAAGATCTTTAATAAAAATATGACATATACGTATACTTAACGAGTTGTATTCATTTCTTGCGCAATCTTTTTCCATTTTTGTAAAGAATGATCTCTATTAAGGTAACTTTTATCTTACATGTCCTATAAACCAATTAATTTTTCTACATCCATATTTGAAATTCACATTTCGCATTTAAATTCGTCCGAAAAAACAAACTGATTTGAAAGATCTTTTATTCTGACGACTTCGTGCGGGTTCTGATGAAAAATTCGCTCGTAATGTAACCGCAACTGTTTATTTCTGTGTATTTGATTTTTCGTGCATGTTCTGACGTGTTCGTCCGAACGCCACTTCGTCAGAATACTCATCCACTATAACCATAGCCTAACTCACGGTCCTGCAAATGCTATGAGTAATGCCATGATTCACGTCATTTGTATAAATGATGAATAGGACCGGGCCTAACATGCATCCTTGTGATACCCCAATAGTTACTTTACTTACCTCTGATTACCCTTTAATGTTATTTTTTGTACCTATCATTTTTTGTTTCCTATTTTATAGGTACGATCTAATCCAGTACAAAACAAGTCCTCCGATTCCGTATCTGTCCAACTTTGTTAGAAGAATACTGTGGTTCACACAGTTATGCATATGCCTTCGATAAGTCTAGAAAGATACCCATAGCTAGTTTGTTACTTTCTAATGCATCTATAGTGTCATTTATAAATTGAAAAAGTACAGTTTGGATTGATTTTTCCCCCTGATACCCATGTTGACTAAAAATGATAGATTCATTCTTTCTTAACCAGTCCATTAACCTAATACACATCATTTTTTTTAAGGATTTTTGGGAATGAATATAAATTTTAACGGTTTTATAATTAGATAAATGGATTGATTGATAATGCTCGTCGGTACATCATTACCACAGCTTAATTTGTTCTTTACATTTTTATGACTTTAGGAATCTCCTCCGTGTTTACCTCATGAAAGAACAATGATCACAAGCAGTTAAGTCACAAGAAAAGGGAATACAATTTATCGATGCTGCTAACATCTGATGTATACTTACAAAAATGCATTATTTTTTTCCGATACTACATTTGAATTACAAGGAATCTGTATTTCTTTATTTTAAAAATTATTTTTTCCATTTATCTCTTTTACAATGTTCCAACTGGTCTTATTTATATTAACTGAGTTCTCAATTAATTGATGGTAGTGTGCAAATCTACTTTTTACTAACTTTAAGTTGTATTCCTTTTTTACTTGCCTATTATGCTCTATGAAAATGTTATATACATTAGATAAAATATATAAAATTTTTATTCTATTTTTACATTCTCTGACTTCTTAATTTACATAAAATGTATTCTTTTCTTGCCTCAAATTTGTAGACTTAGTGGAAAACTATTATTGAAATACTCCCTCCGTTTATTTACATCAGTAGGATTAATATTATTTTTATAATCTTACTGATATTTAGTTCTTTAAATATAATTATTTTTTGTGCCGTATGATCAGAAATCATAGTGTGGATTACTGAAGACTTATATATCCATTTTCAATGTTAGTGTATTGTCAATGCACGATTTATAACTTTTGGATATCCGAGTTGGCTCCCCAATGGTATGTACAATATTAAATGTATTGAGTAGTAAGCATTTATCTTGTGCACTTATCAAAGTGAATATTAAAGTCCCCAGATAATAGGTTACAAAATAGTATATATGGGTATAGAGAACCATTATAAAACTTAAAATAAATAA